TGAGAGTAGAAAACTCCATTTGGCTCCTAATCTCATGTCTACTATTTCTGTGCCATGTGACTTTGGGCATATCTCCTTTTGTTCTCCTAAATTTGGTTTCCTCATTGTCAAAATAGAGGTAATATAGAATTTACAAAGTTTCGAGGACGCTTAAGAGCAGGATTTACACAAAGCAAAACATCCAGTGCATAGTAGGCACTCTCCCAAGTATCCTCCTTCTTGAGTGTTTGCTACCAGAAAGTTAAAAGACAGATCCATATTTAAAAATTAGTAACTGCTGCAGGCACCTGCATGTGCAGATACACATGCACAGACACACACTCATTCACACATGCAAATCAAAAATAATAGAATAAATCTATTTACTTGTGATATGAGTTCCCAATTTTTAACTACTTTTCTCAGACTACTCATGATTTAGCAGAGTACTTAATGGTCCAATATATGATGATGTCCGTATGGTCTAGTCTGCATATTTAGATTCAAGTATGATATAATTATATTATGGTGTTCCACTGGCTTGACTTTGTTTTTATTTATAATTTTCTGATCTTAATTTTTTTATTATTGTTTTATCATGAGTGCTCGTGTTGAGTATATTCCTAAATTCTTGGTTGAACTGGGTAAATAGGCTTTAACTGATATAAGGGCAAATGTGTCCTGATTCTGACTTGTCTAAGGGTAGGTATTCTGGATCTCAGTTTCCCTACATGTAGTCTAGGCACAATATTAAACCTATGAGCTATCTATGACATGAAAATAAGGGTCTACTGTTGAAATATGTCACACAACTAGAAATATTTATCGGGAGGCTGGAGAGATGGCTCAGTGGTTAAAAGTGCTTGCCTGCTTGCTGCTCTACAAAGGACTTGAGTTTGTTTTTCAGTGTCCAAATCAGGTGGTTCACAATCTTCTGTAATTCTATCTCTGAGTGAGTGCTAACTAATGGTAGCCAGTAAAAATGGAGTTAAATGTTAAGGTGGACAGCCAGGACCCTGTGTCCTAGGGATTCAACTGCGATTTGTTTTGAAGCATTTTGTTTAGTCTGAAAATGAGCAAGGGAAAGGCATAAATACAGACGATAAAGAAGCAGACATAAGCATGATGTGTAAGGAGTATACTTGAAGAAAGACCCAGAAAACAATCCCAGTGAGCAAAAGATCACAGGAAAAAAATTACAAGTATTCAAGGCAGCCAAGATCAAAATCAGATTACCTAATAAAAAGCCAGCTTTTCTTTAAATGGAAAACAATGTGTATTGTTTGTCCTTGAAATGTGACATGCACAGCTTTTAAAAGAATGCCTAAGCACTCCACCACAACAGCCCATATCTGACAGAGCTCTATCACCCTACTGCCCCAGAGGTCATTGTTCCTATACAACATTGGGAGGCTTGATTGAATAGATGTTGCCAAACATAGCAGTCACTGGTAATAGATAAGACCAGAAACCAGACCTAAGCAGGAAGAGGCAGAATTTGAATAAAGGTAGGGCCCACCTGCTCAATAATGGAATAATTGCCCAAGGCATGTCCTTCTATAATCTTTCCCGATGTAAGGAATGTTTTCCTGCCCTCCCTCTCTCTGCACTGCTTCAGAATTTGCACATAATCTCAGTCACTCTTAAAGATGCCGATTCAGAAGCCAGACAGCCACTTCCCTAATGTCACGAAAATAGATTCAATTTTACATACATCAGGGTGATTTTAGAAGCAATTTTTACATCTCTAGTGTAAGCATTACTTACATTTTTTCCCCCTTCAAATCTCATCTCAGTGGTCCCACAGGGCATTTTAAATGTTACCTGATGCATTTTAGGGCACTGAAAAAAAATCTCCAGAGTATGTTTATAGCTGCAGCTTGAAGACACTAGATGCGTAGAAAGAATTCTAAAATATTTAGTGATTCAAACAAATGCATGATTTTATAATAATTGAATATAACCAGTCAATTGAAATTTTTTTCTGTCTTTAAAAAGAAATATCTATAAAATAAATATCTATATACAGATACATAGGAGTGTATATGGCTTTATATGTGCATGAGTATATAGATATAAGATATGGACAGCAGACATATCTGATTGTTTCAGAAGACTAGCTTTGACCTTTAAAACATCCCAGCAGACCTCACTGAATGTTCTTACCCTTTCTTTTTCATTAGTGAAGAAGTGTTTTTATCTTGAGGGTCTAACTTTTCATCCACAATGAAAACAGTGGTTGTATTTCTCTTTGAAATCCAAGGAATCAGTGTGACCTAGGTTGTTTTCCCATATGACTGGCAAGCTCCAGACTAAAGACCTGCAATTTCAGGGTCACAGTGATTGTCACGCTTGCTGGATCATAATCTTTCAGCATCTGATGTCTTCCTGGGGAACTCTTATGACAGGGAAAAAGTGTGCACACAAGGCTGGGATGTGCAGGAGAGTTTTGGTTTGAATAACTGAAACTAGTATCATTTTAAAGGCTAAACTTGCAATGCTCAAAGTTGAAGAGCCAGGGACAGTTCAGTGAAGTTCAGGATCCACCTTTCTTCAAGTACACACCAAGGTCATTCCCTAGCCAGCTCCTCTGTGCTTCCCCGGTTCTGTGTCTTCCTCCCCTTCCTGAATCCTGCCAAATATACAAATACAGGTAATTCACCCAGATTAAGGACAGGAATAGGCCATGTGTAGGGTTAGACAGACCATAGACTATCTCTTATCTTTAAGGAGAGGCAAAATTTAAAATTTGTTCAGAAGATTGTCAGTATATTTTTAGATTTTTTGTCTTCAAAGCATTATTCAACCTTAAGTTGTATTCAAATTTACATGGTCAATAGGAGCAGAGTGATATCATGTAGCTATTGATAAAGTTTAGAGCAGTAAACAATACCACTGTATTGTATATCTTTTTTCTAAAATGATTAACCTAAATGAAATCTGATGGAAAATCAGACAACTCTGGCTCATGGATCACTCTATAGAACAACAACCTCAGACTTTAAAAAAAAAATGTCAGATTCCTGGAAGGAAAAATAATGTCAGGAGACTTTAGAAAAACCAAATGGAAATGAGCACCTTGGTTGGATTTTGATTTACAGCAAAAGATCCAGCATATTCTGGGGACACACAGGAACTTTAAATGTGGACTTGCATCTTCAATATCATTGGAACGACGTCTTAGTTCTTACAGAAGACTAATTCTGTTGTGGTATGATGAAGAGCTGTTTTACATCATAGGAGCCACATACCCAAATCTCTAGAGATGGAATGTTCTAGAAACCTCAACTTCTAAATAGCTCAGAAAATTCTGTTCAGTGAGAGAAAGTGCAACCAGATGTCAATATTGAAAAAAATATTACCCATCGGTGAATACAGTTAAAGGATGAGTATTCTTTTCTTCTCAGCCTTTTTTGGGTGGTATGATAGATTTAAACTAATCTTTGCTCCCAAAGACAATACTTCTCCATTTGAACATAGTCATTGCTATTCTCAAAGTTCTGAGTACTTAACTAGGGTATCTCTAAGAACTGTCTGGATAGCATTACAAAATCCATCACCCCCAGTCCCTGTCCTATCTCTCATCCATCATTTTGCTTGGAAAACTTTTCAAATTTTATGCTGTACTCTAGTTTAGGGATCTTGAATCCTTGAGAAATGATCTATATAATGATGGAAACTTGAGTCAAACGTATCTCACCCACCAAATAAGATCAGCCCTACTAAGTGTCTCTCAGGCTGATGGTAGATATGAACCCAGTGTGCCTGCATCATAGATGGTGCAATGTTTATATTGATTTCCTTTATCCTCTTGTGCTCTCATCACTCTGCATCTCTCAGACAGACCATATCGAAAGTGATCTTTATGAAATATGGTTTCTTTTGTCTATAATGTACAAGATATATGGTGAAAATTTACTATCTTAGTATCAAATCTAGGAAAGAACTAGCTTATAGCATGGTTGAAAGAACATAAGGAAGTTTTCTTAAGCCTGGTCACCATAGGCTTATAACTACCCAGCTATGGAGTTCTTCTTTGGATGGGCCAACCATGGAATTTAAACTACTTATATTAGCCAAGGACACATTATTAACTCTGTGTGAAGATGAAGATAGTCTTGGCCTAGTAAAACTTTGCTTGGGAACACAGTTTCCACTTAGAACATGGAACCCAACAGTTTTGTGATTTTTAGAGATTGTTTCCTTAAACCTCAGTTTCTGAAATATTAGGGACAGAGACAAAGACATTCTACGACTCATCTATATTACACAGGAAATGTGAAATAGCTTTGAAAACTGTCAGCCAGTAAGTTCAGTACAGAATGCTGTTTTTTTTTTTTTTTTTTTTTTGGCTTAAAGTCATCTCCTCCTTTCCTCTTCCTCTTCTTCCTCCTCCTTCTTAGTAACTATACTTATTTTTAACTACCTGACCTGACTATTTAGGATGACTTGCTCCCATTCTACCTGCTTAGGCATAGATTCTAGTTGTTTTTTTTTTTGGTATATATGGTTTATAGATATGTGCATATATTTGCATATGTGTACATGCATATGTATATGAATATCAGCGGTTAATATAACTACCTCAATCATTCCTTACCTTATTTTTGAGACATGGTGTCTCATAAGACTTGGAGCTCAATGATTAGGCTAGACTGACTGTCCAGCAAACCCTATGAAATCACCCTGTCTCCACTTCCCTAGTGTTCAGCTTATTGGTACATGCTACCCTGACTAACTTTTTCTTTGTGTCCTGGGGATTCAGACTCAGGTCTTCATGCTCATGTGACAAGTTTATTGGTTGAATTACACCCCCAGTCCCATGTTCTTAAATATGCCTTTTACATCAGGTTGGGCTACCCTAAAGTTTTGCCAGGGAAAACACTCTTCATCTGATATCTCAGGAAAGCATTCTGATTTTACGATTTACTAGACTTGGTCATTGTAAGTGATCCACAGGAGAGGCACCTGGACCAAAATTGTCTATGGATACTCCATTCACCTTAGTTGGCTTGACTTACTGAATCCATTAACGTCCTGAGAGCTGGAGGAAAAGCCTTCATCATTGCGGTTGGTGCTGAGCTTGGTGGTAGGCTTGTCAGTCGAGGCCACAGGACCCATCTCCCTCTGGGCTCCACTCTGGGTCTCCTTCTGCTTCTTAGCCAGCTTCCTTTGGGACATGTGCAAGGGAAAAATCACGGTCAGATGGTTCTAGTTGCATTAGAGGCCTGGGAATGTAGGTTGGTCTCTTTTCCCATGCCCCATTCTCAACACCATATTTAGTTCATTCAATAAAAGCAGAGTCAAGGCTGGCTCTCTAATATCAGGGTCAAGTAAACAGAAGCCATTCTATTCTGAAACTGGAAATTATTTCATTTAGTAGGAAATATGCAATTTAAGTTGTTTTCTCCATAAATGAGCATGTTATATAATTGAACTTATAATGGGAAATCAGAGAGACTCTATTATATATACATCACCCACTTTCTTAGAGGGAGGAAAAGGTCAGGATGCTCCTTCTGTTTTCATGCAACTAAATACTCCCTCCCTCCAAAGTCCCTATTCTATCTCTTCTGTTTTAATTATACCAAGAGATAGCGACTTTTATTCCTCACTAGGGAACTAAAAGGTCAAAGGCTTTTTTATGGACCTAACAATTTATTTTGCTTACATTTTAACTGATAAGGCTTAGGTATTTCATAAGAGATACAGTTCAGCTTTCCTTAGAGGCTGACTAATGAAAGAACCCACTCAGAGCAGTAGACCGAAGTAAGGGTTGATGGTTGGTGAGGGTAAAGGTTAGTCTCTTAGCTCAAAGAAAGATAAGCCAGAGTTGGACCCGATTCATAGACATTTCTATAGGAGCAACAGTCCTAGAGAACCATGGAAGCCTTTAATAATAATAATAATAATAATAATACGTTAGAAGTATTTCTCAAAGTTTAGTGTAAATCTGAATTACCTGAAGATGTAGTCACCAAGATCCCCTAGTAGTCCTGACACCAACTACTGAGGCTAAACCTCTTTTGGCATTAGACAGACATGGCTTCATAGCCTACCTCTGTTGCCTGCCTGGTGCAGGTTTACTGTTCTTGTCCATTGAACTCTTCTACACAAGGAGGATTAGCCTCATACAGACTAAGGATTAAATGAGGCAGCACATGTAATACACAGAGCACAGTACGGAGCACATACATGACAGCAAGCACATGGAAAATGCTATGAAATCCTTGCTGATTCAGCTGATCACATTCTAATGTCTTAACCCCCTCCCAGCAGTTCCACTGTGGAATTCCACCTGTCTTTGAATTATACCAAGTGACAGTGACTTTGATTCCTCACCGGGGAACTAAAAAGGTCAAAGGCCTCTTCTTTTATGGATTAAAAAATCTATTTCACTTAAATTTAAAATGATGGGGCTTAGATATATCACAAAAGATAAAAATATGATGACCCTTCCTTGCATGTGGTCCCTATGGGTTTTCCCAACATACATATATCTGAATATAGTCATTATGTTCCTGGCAGATGGAAAGCTATAGGGTAAATAAATCTTTCAAGGATAAACTTCTCTGAGTGTACTGCTCTAGTCTTCACAGAACCTGCCTTTAACTTTAACCTTTGCCATTTTTGTTTCAGCCTGGAAATAACAAACATCCTAAAGAGGGGAAACTAACCATAACATAGAAACTATGTCCTAATCATGAGATAGTTCATTTCAAGAGGTAATGACATCTCACTTCCATAAGGAGCACCAAAAGAAACAAAAAATCTGGATGGAGAAGTATTTTAGAAGGATTTATCTGGGACTAACTCCCAATTGACAGCCTCCTCCTAAGAATATGGGTCTAATATGTAGGTATAGACTATATAGAATGGCAGATGGCACTTTCAAATGAAGATAATTTGAGAAGTCTTTATTTATAAAAAGGACTGTTAAAAAATGTCATCGGGGATAGAAAGGTGATGTAACATAGAGACAAGACACCTTGTTTCCCACCTACGAGCCCAGAGAAACAAGCAGGTGAAGATCTAACCAGAACCCCCAGTGAAAGAGCTGAAAAGAAAAATCCAGAAAGGGCAGATGTTTTTTTCCTGAAGGGTCTAGTCAGTCCTAGAAGAACACACAGAAGAAATTGTGGGCCACAATACCCTGACTCCTCTTTTGCCATCCTCTGAATTCCTAGAGCAGCTCTCATTAAAAGCTTCAGGTGTTAAAGGACTCCTCTGAGGGAGTCCTTGAAAAACACATTTCTGCCGCAGAAAACATGGCAGAGAAAAGGGCAGAGTGAACCTGGATCCAGGAATCTGGGCAGAGAAGAAAAAAGCTTTTATAATTCCTCATTTGGCCACAATCTGAAGATCCATGCAGCCTAAAGTGGAATTCTTCATTTATTTTATTCCTAAAAATTGGCCTGGGGAAGGAATTGCACTCAAGAAAAGAAACACATTTTTTGGTCATTCATGGTTTGGCCACAGGCAGACTGTTGTATGAGTAGAACTACTTCAGGTAGACAGTGAAATGACAAGAAATCAGGCCTTGCTCAGCCTGGCTCTTTCTACCATCATCAGTCAATCAACAGGCAAGGAGAAGAGCGACATAAGACAAATGAACAATTTTGCAGCTGATGGCATTCAAAATTTTATTCTTCATCCATTATCAAAAAGCAGTGTGTTTAAAAATGTATATGTGACCTTCTTAATCATAAATCTGAAAGGATATACAGCAGATATTTTGCCTCCATCTAAGCTTGCTCACATTGCCCCAGCAGGAAATAAAAGGAAATCTGATAAGAGAATTAACTTGAGAACTACAAATGAGTATGAATCAGAGGCTTTAATATTTCCTTCGGGGCAGAACTTCCAGCCAATCTCATTCCATTCAGGGTAAAATAATATAGTGAGAGTTGTCTTCAACACAAATCATCGGCCTCCAAAGGAATAATAATATCCAAAAGAGGTCTCACTGCTTCTTAGAAAAATGACATTTTATAGAAATATTTGGGTTGAGCCAAATACCTATATAAAAAAAGAAAAGAAAAAAAAAGGAAAGCCTGAACCTCTCCAAAGCATGGAGGTATTTAAAAACTAAGCTATAAATATCAGCTATATAACATCTATATTAGCTACCTTTACATAAAAAAAAAATTCCAGAGACAATGAACTTCTTAAGAGAAAAGGTTCCTTACTAGTCGTTGACTGGGTGACCCCACTTGCTTCATTGACTCTAACAAGGGCTGCAGATTTTATATGTACATAGCAGGCAGAGCAAACTGCTCAGGACAAGAGCCAGGAAGCAAAATGATTTGCATAAGCTGAGGTCTTAAATGTCCTCCTTTGACTTAAGGACCTCCGCTAAGCCTTACAGTTCCACAGCTCCTCATAGCACTGCACTCTGGAATCCAGGACCTAACACACAATCTTTTGGGGTTGGGATGGGTTCCTCTAAACCATAGCAGTATCCAGGGTATGTAGCCCATGGCTGAAATCTCCTGCTTGTTTTGGTGATAGGAGTCCTGTGTGAGTGTTTTGGTAATGGAAATCCTATATGAATGTTTTGGCAGTAAACATAGCCCTAAAGGTGGAAATGGAAGAGGCACAGAGAAAAAAAAAACAAACAAACTCAAAGCTAGAGATCTATCTCTATCCTTTGGAATTCAAAATTTAAAAATGAAAACTAATACCGGTAACAGGGAAAAAATGGTATTTCTTGTCATTACTAAAGAATTCAACTTATCTTTCCCTCTTTTATTTTTTCACTTCTAGAGAAAACTCAAATCTGAAAATACCCAAGATCTTTAAAATGTGGACTGGGCTTCAGCTTAGCCCCCCCCCCCATCCATATCTCCTAGCAAACTGGAACTATGTCCCCCTACCCCATTGCTCAACACTCTTGGCCTGGATGTTTTCTTATTCCTTTCCACTGGGCATCTCTCTTCATCCTTCAAGTTGAAAGTCATTCCAATGTCAGACCTTCTCTGAGGCTTCTTGCTGCTCCACTAACAGAACTGTTATTTTCTCCTCTCGGGCTGACTCATTCTTTGAACAGACATTTGAGCACATATATGTATCAGGCTCTGTTAAGTGTAAAGAGAGCCTTGTCTTCTTCACCTTGACCCTTTACAAACCCAGAGATAAATGACAAAGACAAGCCTTAAATAGGTAAGTGCAGACATAGAGACTTACAGAGATGCAGAATGCAGAGAAGAAATATTTGGTGCTATGAGAACATTAACCCTTGGTTTGAACTCTGGCTGGAGACCAGGTAACATATGGACATCATATCAGCTAAGCCCACATGACTCCTGTGTTAGTCACTCAACTCACCCACCAGGAAGCACCTCTTGGGAGAAGGGCTTTTCACTCCCGGTACCCACTCCAATTCCTTGCCGAGGATCTGATCATAGTCCACACTTGAAAAATTTGTTGCACAGATTTCCATTTAAAAAGTCTGAGATTTGAAGTGTAGAAAAGATGGTTATCCTGCTCTAAGTGCAAATTATAACGACGTCAAAAGTAGATAAGTACAGGTAAAGAGAGGGGAACCCTGCATGGCATCAGTTTGTGCCTCGGACTATTTTGGGTAGATAGCTCAGCATTTTATTCTTGTAATATTTGCAGAATTAGTGGAATATTCACAGAAGTCTGTTTGTTTGTGTTGTTTGTTGTTGTAAACTTTAGGTCCCGCAGACTATCCCAAGTCACAGAACATTCAAAATAAAACAAAACACCCAAAACATCATAAAATAGTCATGACTCCTGGGGTGGTCCTCTCATTAATTAAGGTCTAAGATATTCAGGGCCTTTAACACTCAAGTACATGTGACGTTTCTGAACTTGCAAATATTTCTCTATTGGGTTTGTGATTCTTGTCAATTAGGTTACAGGATTTCACCAGCAGGGGGTACCAAAAGCTGAAGAAAAGAGAACACACAGAAAGTAGCCTGTGGATTTCTCTGCAGAACACTCCTAAAGCTGGAGAATGTTTCAAGACAGTAATCTGAACCAACTAAAAAAGCACTCTCTCCTGTTGTAGACTTCTTCAATCCTTTTCTTAAAATAATTTTCTTCCCCATTGTTCATGAGGTTTTTGGATAAGTCATTAATATGAACTTACTTTATGCCTGTGGCTGCTAGACATGATACTGAAACAAACTGACTGAAACAAAA